CAAGAAGCACTTTAAACTCTGGCGCCGACCCATCGCGGGCACCCACCTGTACCAGTACCGAGGTGCGCCCTGGACCGCCCCCGGGGCTCGTTTTTCCTGCGGGGGGGTCTGTGCCTCCTGCCTCCCACCTCCCCTGTGCTTATAGGGGAAAAAAATGGGAGTTGTCGTCTTTTGCGTCCCGCTCCATGGATTCCATCCCCCTGTAGCCCTTCGGGGGGGTCCCAGCCCCGCCACCCTCTAGAAAATCATCCGTAGTCCCGCTGTGCTGGGACAAAGCTGAGCTCAAGCCCAGGACTAAAACCCTTCTCTCTCCCGCAGTGTTCGGGTCGTACACAGACGTGACTCCCCGGCAGTTCTTCAATGTCCAGGTGAGTGCGTTTGGCATCCAGGGGCATTAAAATCCAGGCTCTGCTGGCAAAGCAGTGACTGTTCTCTTCTATTTACACCACTGACATGACCCAGAGCCGATCCCAGTACAGACCAGCAGCCGGGCGAGCTGTTCCACTCCCCCATCGGCTTTTCCTGCCCGTTCCCGCGGGAAATGCCAGATCGGCCGTCAGGGCTGAGCTCCCCGGCACGTTTCTGCTCGTAGCTCCTGCGCTTCCTCTTCTCCTGATTTCCAAGAATATTTAAGAATTTCCTGGCGGGGTGCCTGACCCGCGACGCAGCTGATTTCCCCAGGAAAAGGGCCAGTTACCTTCTGCGAACGCTGCTGTCGGATTTTTGCCGTGACTCAGCCTCTCTTTCTTGCCAGCTGGACACGGAATACAGGAAGAAATGGGACTCGCTGGTCATCAAACTGGACGTCATCGAGCGAGATGTGGCCACGGGCTCCGAAGTGATTCACTGGGTCACTCATTTTCCGGTGAGTGGTTCCTTTTTTTTTTTTTTTTTTTTTCCTTTCTTCCCCTTGCTCCGGTGATCCTCCGGCCCGCGGGGCTGATGCTGGTGGTTCTGTTCCCCAGTACCCAATGTACTCACGAGACTACGTCTACGTCCGGCGGTACAGCGTAGACAAGGAGAACAACCTGATGGTGCTCGTCTCACGGTAGGTTTTGCCGGACTGACGGCTTTTTGCCGTCTCGTGGCTGTAAAACAAAGTTCAGAGCTGGATATAAATCCCCTGAGATTTTTTTTTTAATTATTATTATTAAATGATGTCAAAACCTCAGGGATCTGCCTTGACAGTTTTTCTGCTCTCCCCCATCCGTTAAACAAAGTTGAGAGCTGGGTATAAATTCTAGGAACTTTTTTTTTTTTAATTATTACTAAATTGTATCAAAACCTCAGGGATCTGTCTCGAAAGTCCTGCCGCCTTCTTGCGGGTGAAAACCTTGTTCTCTCTGTTCCCACTTCCAAAAATCTCAGCTCGGTGTGGTCCGCGCCCGCTGCTCACCTCCTGCTGGTCCCTTCCAGGGCAGTGGAGCACCCGAGCGTCCCTGAAGACCCCGAGTACGTGCGGGTCAGGACCTACGAGTCCCAGATGGTCATCCGGCCCCACAAAACCTTCGACGAGGTAGAGTTTGGGGGGGATGAGCTGGGAAACGGGGTGGAAACCCATCCGAGGAGCTTCCTCCTGCCCCTGCGCCTTTCCTCCTGGCTGCCGTCCATAGTCCAGGCTCGGAGAGGAGAGCTGAGCTGTTTTCCCAAAATCAAGGGAAAACCGCGTCCGCGTGTGGCTCTGGGAGGATTTGAAGCTCTGTGCCGGGAGTTGGAGGCTCCTCTCGCAGGCTTGCGGTGCTCCTGGAGAGCCGAACGCCGCTTCTCAGCGCCGGGCTGCTTTTAGAGAGCCCGAAACCTCGCAGCTCTCGGTCCGAACGCTTCATTCTCTTCGAAAAATTAAACAAAATCCTGGGGGCTTTGCAGGGTGTCCAGAGCCTGGATCAGTGGAGAACTAGGGGAATGACATCTCCTTCCCCCAAAAAACCAACCCCTGTGCACTGTCACGGGGATTTTCGGGGTGAATCGACGCCCTGAAGAGCCGGTAGCTCCGCGGGGAGTCCAGGCGAGGATTGACGGGTTTTTCTGCCGGCTCAGAACGTGAGCCCCTTCTCTCTCCCCTTCTCCTTCCCCAGAACGGTTTTGACTATTTGCTGACCTACAGCGACAACCCGCAGACCGTGTTCCCCCGCTACTGCGTCAGCTGGATGGTCTCGAGCGGTGAGCGAGCGCCGGTGGGGCAGAAAATAAGCTTAAAACTGGCGATGTGGGGAGTTTGGGGGGATTTTTGGTGCCTTTGGGCTGCGATTCCCACCTCATGGAGAGGGATTCCTGCCTGGAGGAGGGAAGAAATCCCTGCAGAAGGATGCACTCACTCTCAGTCCAGCCCAGGCAGAAGGAAAAATGAGCACGATCCCTATTTTTTTTTTTTTTAATTTTTTAAAATTGAATTTTCTTACTTTAGAGCCACCTTGGCTCTGAAGGATTTCTGCCATCGAGTTTTTCCCTGTTATGCTGAACAGGGGAGACAGCTCCTTCTAGCTTAGGGGTGCAGACTCCCCCGAGCTCGGCTTTATTTCGGGGGGGGAAACAGCATTTAAAGGGTCGGGGCTGAGCCGCCGCCATCCCCCAAATCAGCCCGAGGTGTTGTGACACC